AGTCAGTCATGCAAAGGGGAAGATTTTCCAAGGGGTGCTGGAATGAGCTTAGTGGTATGTTGGAGGAGGAGGAATATAATCACAGCTGAAGCAGAGTAAACAGAAGAAGTGGTTCGTTGATGATCTTAGAGGGAGAGAAGGGAGCCAAGTCATGTAGGGCCTTGAGGTCTTCATAAAAACTCTGGATTTTGCCAACAAATACAATTAACCACTGAACCACCCTTTTTAGAAGCAAGTATACAATTATTGCTCATCTTTGAGCAACATTGGCCTTTCTCTTCGTATCCTGCGTGCAAGAAGACCCTGGAGGAAAATCTGAGTTGATGAATCAGAAAAGAGGCATTTCTCCTCTCTGGAGTGAGCAGGTAGCATTTCTAATTCCACCCACACATCCCCAGAAGAAAAATAACTTGCTTTCCGGTAAAGCTGGTAGTAGACACTGGACTTGAGCAACAGGGCCTTCCTGTTTCGTCCAAAGCACTTTTCCTTGTCTTGTGGTTGGTTTAGGGTATTCTGAGATGTCCCAGGATGCAAAAGCACAATACAGGAGGGCAGCACCATCCCCCAGAAAATGGAAACCACTCTTCTTAACACTTACTTCCTCATGGAAATATGAATCTGTTCACACGCAGGATATTTCCAGAAACATATCACTTCCGGGCTTATAAAAGATAAGTTCAGGAAAACAGCTTTTTGAAAATTGATAGTGTTTGCTGGGTTATTTATGCTGATCCTACTTCTAATTAAGAGCTTGGGTGGAAGGCCATGCAAATATCATTGCACCCACCTGTATAGCTTTTGTTTCTAGATGTGATCTTGAAGCTTTTTTTTTTTTTGCTGGAATTCATCCATTCAGAGGACTCATTCATCATCTTAGGTTGTTACCCTCTTCTGTCCGCCTTCATACTGGGAAGGCTCTGGAAGTGATTAGGCTGTTGTAAATCAGGTTTTATGATTTGTGTGTCAGAGATAAGTAGCAGAGAAAGCAGCAGTCGGAGGACCCAACTCCTCTTGTCCTGACAATTATCCCAGTAATGAAATTAAAACAAAAAATTACTGGAGAGTACAATATTTGATAGAGTAGTTTCTCCATAGGCATATCCAGTGTTCAAATTTGGCTAATCTTTAACAAACATTGCTTTATTTTTATACCTTTTTATTGATGTATAACTTACATAAAGTAGAGCAGACTACACTTCAGTGAGTTAGTTTTTATACGTGTATCCTTTTATAACCATCATACAGATCTAGGTATAGAACAAGTCCAGTGCCCTAGAAGCTTCCCTTGTGCCTCCTCCACCGCCCATACCTGTATTGTCATAGACAGCCTTAGCCTGTTCTTGAACTTCATATAAATGGGATCATACAGCACATGCTCTTGATTGTGTGTCTCTGCATTTTCTATGAGATACATTCATTTGCTGGGTGTAGTTATTCATTCTTATTGCTGTGTAGCATTCCATTATGTCAGGGTTTCTCAACTGTGACACCTTTGACATTTTCTGCTGGACAGTTCTTGGGGGTGGGGGGCAGGGAAGCTGTCCTGTGCATTATAGGATGTTTAGCAACATCTGTGGACTGTACCTGCTAGATGCCAGTAGTATACCTTCCCATATATAACAACCAAAAATGTTTCCAGATAATTCCAGATTTCCCCCAGAATTGAAAGCCATCACATCACATGAATATGCTACAATGTTAAGGAAACATTTTACTTAGAAATAATTTCAAACTTATTTAAAATGTGTAGAAATAGAATAAATAACACATACCATACTCTTGGCCTAGATTCACCTACTGTTAACATTTTTGCCTCATTTATTCCCCCATGTTCACATGCACACATGTGTATGCTCACATACTAATTTTATTTACAAATCATGTGAGAGCAGATTGCATCCATCTGGCCCATTTACCACCCCATCCTTGCATGTATATTTCCCAAGAATAAGGACCATCTCCCATGTTATCTAGTTATCAATTAATCATAGTAAATTCAGCATACCTTAATCTAGTACCCGTGTTTTAATCTTTTTGTTTTTTAATTTTATTTAATTTATTGAGGCAGAGTCTCACTCTGTTGCCCAGGCTGGAGTGTAGTAGCATGATCATAGTCACTACAGCTTCAAAATCCTGAGTTCAAGAGATCCTCCTGCCTTAGCCTACCAAATAGCTGAGACTACAGGCACATGCTACCACACCCAGCTAATTTTTAATTTTCTTTTGTGGAGATGGGGTTCTGCTAGGTTGCCTGGGCTGGTCTCAAACTCTTGGCCTCAAGTGATCCTCCCACCTCAGCTTCCCAAAGTGCTGGGATTACAAGCATAAGCCACTAGCCGGGCTCGGTGGCTCAGCCTGTAATCCCGCACCTTTGGGAGGCTAAGGTGAGTGGATTGCCTGAGCCCGCGGGTTCGAGACCCACCTGGGCAAATTGGTGAGACCTCATCTCTACAATAAATTTTTTAAAAAACCGGCCGGGCGTGGTAGTGCATGCCTGTAATTCCGGCTACTTGGAAGGCTGAGGCGGAAGGATCGCCAGAGCCCAGCAGGTCGAGGCTGCGGTGGCCGGGAGCGGCCACTGCACTCCAGTCTGGGCGACCGAGTGAGACTCCAACTCAAAAAAAAAAAAAAACATAAGCCACTAATCCCCATTTTTTTCTACTGACCCAAAATTATCTTTTTATTTTTCCCTACAGAGCAGGTTCCAGGCTAGGATCAGGTATTATATGCAGTTGCCATGTTTCCTTAGTACCTTTAATCTAGAACGTTCTCTAAGCCTATTTTTTTTGTTTGTTTGTTTTGTTTTGGTCTTAAGATTATAGCTTCTTTTTTTCTTAATAGAATGTTCCTCCTCTTGGGATTTATTTATTGTTTCCTCCTGAATACATTCAAGATATACAATTTTGACTGGAATATTACATAAGGGATAGTATGCCCTTCTTAGGACTCCCCATCTGGAGGTATGGTATGTCCTGTTGCACACATCAGGGATGTTAAATTTGAGCTCCAGTTCAAGGTGTTGTCTGATTTTCCTATTGCTTACCTGCTAATTACCCCCTTACAACAAATAAGCACTATGTAAGGAAACACTTTAAAACTGCACTTTCTTGTCCACTTTTATCACCTAAATTTAGTGTACTTTTGCATCTTGCATGAGGCACTCTCTACCTCTGATAGTTACAAAGGATTTTCCAAATCTGACATTCACTCCCTTCTCTTGCACTTACCCTACTAACAGCAGTCAGCATTGTACACGAGAGCCCTCTTTTCCTCCCATTGATTTATTTATCAATGTTTTAATCTGTGATCCATATGGATTTGTGGATTCCTATTTGTTTCAGTGGTTTATAAATCATTACTGCCCTTAAATATTTTAATGCTCAAATTGTTCATATGTGGCCAGTGGGAGAACCCCTTCAAGATGGACCCTATGTTCTTCTGACAAACCTCATCATATTTTATTTTTAATACTTCCTTTCTGGCATAACAAGATATTCAGATTTATCTTTTACTTTACTCTCCTCTATCCTGGGATTGGCCATTTTTCCAAAAAACCCTGGTTCCTTCAAGTGGAGAATGGTAGAAAAATACCACAAGGTATTTATTCACTTTCCTGATAATTGATATTTAAGTTGTTTCCAGTTCTGGGCTATTATGAGAAAGCTTCTCTCAATAAGCTTGTACATTTTTTAACCTATGTACTAACTTCTGTTGAGTATATAACCAAGAAAGGTGATAGAAAGTTCTGGAATTGCCACTCTTGGTTAGATACCCAGCAGAAATGCATGTGTAAGTCCACAAAAAAATGGACAAGGGTATTCTAAGTGGCTTTATTCATAATTCATACATGTGTATATGTATGAATATTTAGCTTTAGTAATATTGCCAAGTAGTTTTCCAAAGTGCTTGTAACATTGCTTGAGTTTTATCAGGGGAGAGGAAGTCATGTGCCCCAGTAGGAGGCAAGAATAGTCAGTGGCAGGGGTGACCATGGGCCATTGCAATCCTAAGGCATGTTATCTATGACCAGAAATGGCAAAATTGCTTATCCTTGCAATATACAAAGAGTAGAAAATGCTTAGACTTTGCCACCTGGCCCATTCTCAACCATCTCCTTGGAGAGTGCTACTTAAGATGAGCAAAATGGAAGTTACCGAAGTCAATATCTCACACTACGTTCAAAATGGTTTTCATCTCAGGGATACCAGGAGCTCATGTGACAGCACTTAGGAAATGGAGATGCATTACTAGGGACACCCACTGTTAGACAGCATTAGGGCCTCTGCTTGATTTTAAAATTGCCTTCCCATGGGATAGAGGGGTGCCCCAGGGTCCCACTCACATCTTCTGGCTGTTAGGACCCATTTATAACCCTGGAGTATTCACTAAATGGGCTAAGAAAGTAAATATTTCTCTATTTACACCTAGGGAGTCACTTAGTATCCAAGATATTTGAGATGGAGAACCACCTGCCACTAGGGCACAGCGGGCAAAGCAGGAGACTGCTGCAGGCTAACAGAGAAGTGAACTGGCCCAGTATCATGGAACTAGTGTTCAGTGTTTCCAGGAGCATCCTGAGCATAGCCCAGCCTCTACAGCTTAAAGTTTCCTCATCTAAAATATTTGTCCTATGGTGCTTACTGTGCACATTAGAATCAAAGAGGTAATTGAATACTTTGTAAAGTGAAATTGTGAACAGAGGAAACATCATGCATAAGATGCACGGTGGGCTCTTAGTAACTTTGAGCCTCAGGAGGAATTAGTAACTAGTAAAACGTATCTCTGTGGATGATTGTTAAGCCAGTAACCTCTCTGGGTGGACGCTGCCCTGCCGTAGGTGGGAAGAGCCCCCTCACATACAATGTGCCCTCTAAGAGAGCTACTGTGCAGTGCACAGCTACACAACCATATGTAACTACCCTGAATAGGTGACCAGCAGTGATAGTGACCCCATTTGTATTAACCTCTGTGGTCCTCTCGTCCCCCCCCCCCCCCCCCAGGCCTCTCCGCTGATGGTGGTGCCAAGCGCCAGGAGCACCTGTCCCGATTTTCCATGCCTGACCTCAGCAAAGACTCCGGAATGAATGTCTCCGAGAAGCTGAGCAACATGGGCACCCTTAACTCATCCATGCAGTTCAGAAGCGCAGAGTCAGTCCGCAGCCTGCTGTCTGCCCAGCAGTACCAGGAGATGGAGGGAAACCTCCACCAGCTCAGCAACCCCATTGGCTACAGAGACCTGCAATCCCATGGAAGGATGCATCAGAGCTTTGATTTTGATGGGGGGATGGCGGGCAGCAAGCTGCCAGGGCAGGAGGGCGTGAGGATCCAGCCCATGAGCGAACGCACCCGGAGAAGAGCGACTTCGCGCGATGACAACCGTCGCTTCCGACCTCACCGGTCCAGGCGTTCCCGCCGCTCTCGCTCGGACAACGCCCTCCACCTGGCCAGCGAACGCGAGGCCATCTCTCGGTTAAAAGAAAGGCCCCCCCTGAGAGCCAGGGAAGACTATGACCAGTTCATGCGCCAGCGGAGCTTCCAGGAGAGCCTGGGGCACGGGTCCCGGAGGGACCTGTACGGCCAGTGCCCAAGGACTGTGTCGGACCTGGCCTTGCAGAATGCCTTTGGGGAGCGATGGGGACCCTACTTCGCCGAGTACGACTGGTGTTCCACCTGCTCCTCCTCTTCAGAGTCTGACAACGAGGGCTATTTCCTAGGAGAACCAATCCCCCAGCCAGCCCGCCTGCGATACGTCACAAGCGATGAGTTGCTGCACAAATACAGCTCCTACGGCCTCCCCAAATCTTCCACGTTAGGTGGCAGAGGACAGTTGCACAGCAGGAAAAGACAAAAGAGCAAAAACTGTATCATTTCTTAATATGATTGGGATCAGGGAATGGGGGAAGATGGGAGCTAAGAATGTAAATTCAGGAACTTGCACTGTTTAAATGTTAATGCGCTTTTGGGGGTGGTCAAGGGGAGAAAAGGGAAAATGCTCTCCATGAATGGAGAAGAAGTTACAGATTGACTCAATAGGTAGTCACAGTTCTTGGCATGTTGAATATTATTTGCACATTTCACTTTGGAAACACAATAGACTCTCTTGAGGCCAGGGTTGGTCACCTCCTTCCCATCAGTTCTGTGTTGAGTTGCTGCTCACAAGATGGCAGATTGTTTCCCGCTCGCTTATATCCTCTCTGGTTCTCTTACTTATAGGACCCTTTTTTCAGTAAGTAATTTGTTTATTAGCCAGAACCCAAGACTAAGTTATTTACATGTCCATTGTAAATGCAATGTAAATGAGAGTTCTGATAAAATATTTTTGTATTTTGTAATATCAAAGGAATTTCTATATCGTAGGACTCAGTGGGGATTTGCATGCATAGCCACCATTGTCTTTGAGTAGTATTACAAGGTGGCCCAGCACCACCTTTTTTTTTCTATACAAATTTGTTACATGTCAGTGAGACCTTTTTCAAAGGAATATATTCAATTTGGCTTTTTGTGGCTGAAAAAAAAACAAACTATTCTACCCGAAGTATTTTATGCTCCATTCCATCTTAAGGAGCCATTCTTAAGTCTGCTTCCACCCTCCGTAGAATTTATTCTCTACAAAGTGGTAGTAATTTTTTTTTTTTGAAATTGCAAATGTAACTTTCGCCAATTAGAGAAACCAACCAGTGTCAGTAAAGTTCCGTGAGAAATGCCATCCCTGCTGGGAACATTGAAGTTACTTAATGTTGATCTATCCCTTGGGGAAAGTAAAAGTGACTGTGAGTGGTGCTGTTGTGTGATGTCAGCATGACGTTGTTTTGAATGTGGCATTATGTTCTGGTGCTCATGTTTCCTGGATTGTATTATCTGCTTTCCTTTACCAAGGCAGACGGAACTGCTGCCTTAGCCTGACAACCGGTTGTCCTCAAAGCAAATGAACTTAATTAAGCATTTGGAATTGAGGGATGGAAAGATTCTGAGGGGGCTCTGGGAGAGATGGTGTGTTGCATGTCATACATGGAGAAGGAACAAGGCAATTTAAAAGCTGAAAGCAGATCAAGGGTAGAAGTTGAAGGAGAATCTGAAGGAAGGCCAGGGAAAAGAAGAACTTCTGGAAATGAAATAGAGGAGAAGTGACAACCACCTTGAATAGCTCCCAGTGCTTGTAGAAAGAATCCAGTTTGACAAGCTCAGTAACCAGAGTATCTGGGTTACCCGGGAAGGTTGAGGAGATTTCAGTGATGTAATGACCTTAAAAAACAGACTTTGTTGATAGAAGGATTTCCATTTTGAACTTTGAGGACTGTTGGTCAGACAGAAAATGGGCTCAAAAGTGAGTTTGCTTAATGAAGACATTTAACGGTTGTGCTGTTTATAGTAAAATAAAACTTCCTACCTTGCTTCAGTTAAAAAATGAAGCTCTTGGTTTTTCTTCCACTCTCCTCCTCCCCATAATGGATTGTGGCAGTTGAAATAATCCATCGGAGGACTCGCCTTTAGTGAGATGTACTGTCAATGTAGTAACCAGTGTGTCTCAGTGGCCATCTGCCATGGTGAGGTGGGCGTGGTCTCTTTTCAGTATAGTAGTTAACATTTTCTAGTACTTTTTATGGAGAGAACGGAAAAGATGGCTTTTCAGACACCATCCCAAGTGGGTCTGAGGAAAGGAAGGCTGTAAAGGACATGGTAATGGCACTCCATTCAGGATGTATTAAAATAATTTGCTTTTCAGGTATTAATATGACATTTGTCATTGTCACTGATTTTTAAAAAAAAGCAATGCAAATGTTGGTTGTGGCTGTTTTCCGCATGCTATCTTCATATCTAAATGCTTCATTAATTATCCGAACCTCCGGAAAATTAACTCTATTACGTTTGTATAGTAAGTTTGTAAACTGCTTGGCAAACTGATTAAGAAATAATGTACAACACCATGCTACTAAAGTGGCAGGTTTCTGGTAGAAATTGGGTGAGTCCAATTTGGAGTTTTGAGTTCCTTGATTGATGAAAATAAAAAGGCATTTTTGGAAAAAGAAAAGAGAGGGGGAAAGTAGATCACTTATCTTAGCAAACAGTTGGAAATATGCCTGTCCCCTGTGGCCCCAAATCCAATGAAAGAAATTCTCCCAGTAAAAATTGCTTTCTAACTCTGTTCTTCTACCTCTTACATTTCCCAAATGATGCTTTAACCACCATCAGCAGAAAAGGGCAGCCTAGAGACTGACACATAACCAGTATCCAAAGGGGTCTGGAGAAATAAGTACGTTCAGGTCTAGCTGCCCAGAGAACATCCAGAAACTGAACTGGTCAGAGCTTGAGACATAATGAGATACAAGTCTCAGGGTCAAACTGTCTACTAGCAAGATCACCTCCATCTATTTTACCACTGCAGAACTCTTCTCCCTACGCCAAATGCAGCCAGGCACCTTACAAAGAATGCTGAAGGAGGAAGACCAGTTCCTTACAATAATGGCAGAACCTCCAACAAATGCCCTATTGAGCCCAGAACATCATTGAATTGGGAGTTCCACCCGTTAGTGATAACTTACACATAACACCTCAGAATCCCACTCTCAAAAATTCAATGCATTCTTTCCTGAGGTAAGAGCTTAAGGTCTTCATCTGATTCTTCCATCATAACTAGGGGCTCTTGTTGGTCAAGTTCTTTCTGTGAGTGGGGCCTGTACTCACTTCTTTTTAGATCATAATTTCATTTTCATCAGACTGGTTTTCAGAAGAATAATCTTTTCTAGTGTTCTCTCTTCTTTAATGCCTTGATTGTTTGTTTTCTACCTCTCCTAATATTGGTCTTGTCTTTTGGTTATAACCACAACCTTGGAGTTCAGGTCATTTCCTATTGTTGCTCAATTCAGGGCAACATAGCTAGCTCCTTCCCAGCCCAAGAAGTGTAAGTTATTGACAATTTCCTGACTGGCCCTGCCAATACATACCACCCTTGGCACTATAAAAGTCTTCTTAGCAGTCTGGTGGCATTGAGAATGGCATTTGGGGCCCTTTCCTTCTGTCATTTAGTTCTGAGATCTCTTCTTAGTGTGAAGGGGAATTGGGGGGCCGAGGCGATCAGAACATGCTTCCTGGTTTATCATGGGTCCAAGAGAGAAGACCTGGTGTTGGTTGTTTAACACCTTCTTCACCTTTTATTCTGTAGTCCTTTTGTACTCCCAACCAGCTGAACAAACAAGCAATTTTATGTTTCTAATATGGTACCTAGAGGCCATGCTTTCTAATCCTTTTTTCCCATAGGATGCTCCTGCACTGTAACAAGATTATTTTTTTCTTCTCTTTCCACAACAGTTTTCTGCTTCTTGGGTACTACTAGCGATTGTTGGGTTTAAGTGGGCCAGTGATGGCATATATATAGCACATGCTCTAAACTCCCTTCAACCTGAGCAGATATGACCAATGTATCACCATATGCTTTCCCAGAGAATGTAGATGTAGCCTCAGAAACCTTTGTAACACTCCAACCAGTCAGGACCAGTTGATCAGAACTGGTCTTATTTGTCTGATAACAGATCTTATTTGTGAACTGATTATTATCTGTCTTTCCACCCTTGGCTCTCTTGCCATGGAATAAAAACAGTACATGAGACATTTAGGAAGCATAATTAATAAATCATTTGGAGACTTCAATTCCTTTGCAGATCATGGAGGCTAGAGGAAGCTGACATCGTAGGCTAAAGGCCGACAAGTTTCTTTAGCCTCCTTTGCCATTTTCATGTTATTTGCCAATTATTATAGCAGGCAGTCTTCTGTTTGTTTTGCAGAGGTCAGACAAGATTCCATCTTATTCTTCATCTAGTTCTACCTTTGGACCAAAAAAATAACACAAATATTTAAATTCCAAGAAGTGCTCTTTGTATATTTCTAACAAAAACCATATGCTAACACCTAAGAAGGAGGATCCATCTATGACAAAGGGAAGTGAAAAATTGAACCGGTTGTCTGCATACTTCATGCCAGAAGAGTGGCTATTAGCAACTGTTTAGCACCTTCAGGGCTTTGACATGGGCTCTGCAGACAGCATCCATATGCAGGACTCAGTAGCCAAGCCTCCACTGCCAATTTTTGAAGGCAGTTTCAGAGTGCCACCTTTTGAGGTACATTTCTTTAAGCACAAGTGAAGTGGAAATGAAGGGACCTTTGCCTTGTCTCCAGTGGTTTGTCCCTCTGGGGCTTCAGCAGACACCAGAGCTTGTGTGTATGCCCATTTGGAAGTAGTCATCACGGTTAAGATCATGAAAGGATTGGATTCTTTTTCCATTTTTCTCATAATAGTAGCCCAGTCAACACAAGACTCCCATAAAACATGACTCACTGTTGAGAACTGTACTATTTTATAAGCTTACTTCCTGCTGGCAGAACTAGCTTTCCTCAAGGGCATAAAAAGGAGGAGGGGAAAGTTACATAGTGTTAGGAAAACAGGAAAACATCTCTGTGACTTAGATATGATGAATTCATTGGATAGAAAAAATTATCTTGTTCTATCCTGGGAGTTTTCTAAGATATCTCTTCACCCTGCTTAGCATTTGGCCATTGATGTTCAGCAGGTCACTGACCAAGCTTTTCTGAATTTTTCAGCGTTTCTTACCAGTAAGGTCTGTTCTCAAACCTACCTAGTTGATTTTCATGTTTTTCCATAAATTGTTATGACCCCGTCCTGAACCTGACTTAACATTCTAAGGTCTATGAATCTCCCTTTTTTTTTTTCTTTCCTTCTTTTTTTTTTAGCAAATTAGGACTTCAGCAGGTTTTCCTCTTTGAAACTCTTTTTTGTTTTGTTTTGTTTTTGTTTGTTTTTTGCTGCACAGGATTGCTTTGCCCATCTTCTGCTTTAATTTCAAGTGCATAAACAAAACCTCAAAGGGCCTGAGAAGGTGAGGCAGGCCAGAGTCTATGTTATATGTTGAGTGTCAAGCTATTTGTTAAGAAGGTCTGCAACAGGCCTTTGGTGTGGGCTCTGCCAGAGACTGTTCTGAACACTTTGCTTGAGATCCGTGCCCTGTAAAATGGATATGATGTTTTACTGATGTCTGTAATACATTTGTAAACTTCCAATAAAATTTGAATAAAAGAAATGTTGCCATTCTTCTCAGTCCTCCCTCACTTTCCAGATTTTTAAGGTGGTCTTTGCCTTTGGGTGTCTCAACAAAGAAGAGAAAGACCACACGCATGTGGTGGGGGTGAGATTTACTATGAAAGATGAACCTGATTGTTTAAATCAGAGTTTCTCAACTTCAGCACCATTGACATCTTGGGCCACTAAATTCTTGGTTGCAGAAGGCTGTCCTGTGCATTGTAAGGTGTTTGGCAACATCACTAACCTCTACCCATAGATGCCAGTAATACTCCTCCGCCAAGCTGTGACAAGTAAAAAATGTCTCCACACATCCCACCTTCTAGGATGGCTGCTATTAAAAAAAGAAGCAAAGATCATAAGAAGAGTTGATGAGGATGTGAAGAAATTGAAACACTTGTACACTGTTGGTGAAAAATGTAAAATGGTGCAGTACTGTGGAAAAGAGTATGGCAGTTCCTTCAGAAAATAAAAATAGAATTATTACCATATGATGCAGCAATTCTACTTCTGAGATATACCCAATAAAACTGAAATTAGGGTCTTATAGACATATTTGTACATGCATGTTCACAGCAACATTATTCACAATAGCCAATTGTGGGAGCAATTTGTCCATTGATAATTGAATGGGTAAACAACATGTGGTATATACATACAATGAAATAGTATTCAGCCTAAAAAAGGAAGGAAATTCTGAGACATGCTACAATATGAATAAAACTTGAGGATGTTATGTTAAGTGTGATAAGCCAGTGGCAAAAAGACAAATGCTGTATTATTCCACTTGTACGAGATCTCTTGAGTCAAATTCACTGAGACAGAAAGTAAAAGAGTGGTTGTCAGGGTCTGAGGGAAGGGGAGAGTGGGGAGTTTATGTTTCATGAGTAGAGTTTTAGTTTTGCAAGATGAAGAGGTCTAAAGACTGGTTACAAAACAATATGAATGAACTTAACACTACTAAACTGTATCCTTAAAAATGATTAAGATGGTAAATTTTACATTATGTTAATCTTTGCCACAATTAAAAATGTCTGCACACATTGCCAATGTCTCCTGAGGGCAAAATCGCCCCTGGTTGAGAACCACTGGTTTAAATGTATTGCCTTGAGGATCCTTGAAACTAATTGCTTTCCAGGCCATGCAGGTGACTTTCAGTTATTAGCAAGAATTGAAACCAGCAGATAATCTTAAAAAAAAATTTTGTGTTTGCTTTTAAGCAAATAATAAGTGGTTTGTCTGGAGAGTTAACATCCACACTATATTCTGGTTAGGACAGTATTAAGGTTGACTGGGAGCCAGGACCAAGGCAGCATGTAAATTCAATCTCTCCATGTCCGATCCACAACATTTGGCAGTTGCTGGATGCTGCAATATCCTTTATTCATTCAGTCAACAAATGTTTACTGAAAGCTTACTTTATGCCAGGCATTGTTCTAGGTGCTTGGAATACAGTAATGCATAAAACAAACTTCCCCACCTCCATAGGGCTTACAAACTTTTCTTTCAGCTAGGCAAGACATTTGAAATAGTGAATAGTCATACCCACCCTAATCTCAAGGACATGAGAGTTGTGAAATGAGAGTTATTTCATTCTAAGGCATCTTGAGAGCCTTTAGATGAAAACTTGTGCTGGAAATAGCAATAACCATGCCTGTTCTGCTCACAGATCCCACTGGAGTGTATGGCCTTTAGGCAACCATGGTCTTTGCTGTATGACCTCCCTCTTCCACCTCTTCAGCCTAAATGATTAGAGTCACGCGTAGCACCTAAACTAGCAATCTAGAAGTGTGGTAAGCTGGATTCCTCAGATTCCCTCTCTCAAGAATATAAATGAAGACTTTCTGAAAGAACAAGGCTGCCAACAGTGGGAGCTGAAGCTAAGAGGGTGGAAGGGGAGGAGCAGGAGGTAGAGTCAGGCCTACATGGGTAAGAGGAAGGAGGAAGCAGAAGCTAGGGCTAAGCAAAGTTCAGGCTGAGCTCAGGTTCAAGGACAAAGATGAATGGGAGCACAAAGAGATCAGAACTGACACAGAGACTTCCTCACCTCCAAACTGATCCTTGTTCCTCGAGACTTCCTCACCTCCACACTGATCCTTGGTCCCGCCCAGGAGGTACCCTTCTAGAATGACCATTCAGTTTCAGTCTTTCACACACCCCCTCCTCACTGTGCTGTGTATTGTTATAATACACATCTACACAAACTTTATTTGGGCCCAAGTGTTTCTTGCAATTCGAATAAAAACACGGGAAGGATGTATTCTGAATGCCCACTATGTATTTTATTTTGACCCTGCTCCCCTTTCATATTTTAAATCTCATCTCAGCCAGTTGCTAGTTGTTGATCTTGGGAAATGTGCATGTCCTCTCTGAGGCTCAGTTCTTAATCTATCAAATGGGATAATAATGAAAGAGTCATCAGCGGGTTGTATGGATTTACAGGAAGAAGGCATGCAAAGCTCTTAGCACTGCCTGCCACTACAAGAACTCAAAACACATTAGCTATAGCTATTATTATGATTATTATGATTATTATTCCTATTCCACCCAAAGAGAAAAGGCGGCAGAAACTAGATACCATTGGTACTAGACTAGGATACTCATTATCTTTTCTTTTAATGTAAGCGTTAAGTAAGACTTAGAGACAGCCAAGGAAGGCCCGAATCTTTACTGTGTGAGAAATGCCCAGAAAGCTTATTAAGAACTTACTGAAAATTCCTAGTCCTCCCCACAGATGATCTGGTTCAGGGGGTCTAGGGTAGAACCCCAGAATCTGTTTTTTTGGTTGTTGTTTTTGTTTTGTTTTTTTAATTAAGACCTTCCAGGTTGTTTTGATCTAGGTGGTTTGTTTAAGAAATTCTGCCCTTTTGGCTTAGTTTTGTTTTGTTTTGTACCAAGTCTCTGTAAAAAACAAACAAAAATACATCTCATAGTCCCATCTGCTTCAGGAGAACTTAACAAGCCAGTTGATCTGAATGAAAAGACTTGAGCCAGGGATTTGCAATTCAATTTTGGAGGATTTGAGGTGTGTTCACTTTTTTTCAGCAGTGACAGTCTTTAAAAAAGGAATTTTTATGATAGATATTTACCACCACTAAATTCAAGAAGAGAGGGAGCTTATTGTGAAATACAATTTAACAATTATCTTTGGATTTGAGAATTGCGACTCTTGACTCATAGCCAATGGCTTTCACATATCAAAATTAACTGTGTAGATTATTTAAAATTCAGAGTTCCTTTCCCCATTCCTAAAGAGTGTGATTCAGCAGGTCTCCAACAGGGTCTGGGTAACCACGTTTTTCATAAGCATCCAGGGATCTGAAACCAACCTTTGGGAAAAACTGGCTTGGTCTCTCACCAAGGGAATTCCTTTATCTTCTGTGAGCCCCTGTGTCCTAAAGACAGTCCAGCTTAAATTACAGAGCTTCAGAGTGGAAGTGTCTGCTACTCAAATACTCATCTACACAATATGTAAAGTAGACACTGGTTTACTTTTGGCCTAGAATGAGAAACATCAGCCCCTTTGAAAAACTCATCCTAGTATAACCTCTAAATACAGCTAATTTTGATTGAGACAGAGATGTTCAGACATGTACCCAAGGAGGAAAAGTTATCAGAAGATACAATAGATAAATAATCACAGGCTGAAGTTCAAGGGGAAATGGTTAAACTATTAAATGACACAGTCATACCCAGCAGAACATGAAATGATTTAAGAGCTTTCTCAGCAAAATACTAGCAGATACCTGTTTCCCCTGCTGGGTTGGCAGATTCTGGAGATAAAACAGATCATCAGGGTTGATGGACAGACAAGTTAGCAAACAGATGGGTCCGAAAGTACTGGAAAGTAAACTCAATAACCTGAGGAATTCAGGCCATAAAGGGCAATTGTCTTAGGCTAGATTCTTTGGATTTTAATAATCATTACTTACTTCAAACTAACTTGAGACATGCACGCACACACCCAAAAAACAAATCAAAAGTAAAAATAAGGAGTGTTTGTTTGAAAGATACTATATATCTTACAAGAAGCTAATGGCAGCAGCTTGTTGAGAGTCTGGAACTCAGAATAAGAAAACCACCAAAAGATCAGAAAAGTTTCTACCCTAATTTTTTAGGCTTTGCTGTTCTTTCATTGTCTGCTTAATCTTCTCCCTGTGTTAATCTGCATGAACATATGTGGCTCTTCACAGCTCACAAGTTGCCATCTCTTTCATTTAATCTCTTAGTCTCAAAGGATGTTCTGACTGGCCTAATTTGGGTCAAGTACTCATTTCTGGTCTGATCAACCAATGGAAGAGAGGTGGAATCCTAGGTGCTAGCATTCTGGAGAGTGCTGGTCCTTGTAGGTGAAGGAACAGTTTTCAGATAGAGAAAGTCATGGTCTGGGCAGACATCCCAAAATGTATCCCCTATAAGAATTATCCTAGTAACAACCCAAGGGGAAGAGCTGGGATTATTATCTATTAGACGTATTTCTATTTGTACTCATCTACTCATAGCTACAATCTCATGAGAAAATTGCTACAATCCTGCAAACCCTTGGGCTCCAATTGGTCCCATCTCGCCTACGTATTACATTCAAAGAAACACAAATACAACCAGAAAGTATAAATCTACACTCAGCATTTCAAATCTGTCCTGTCTTTCAAGGAAATACCAAAGGAGGAAGTGAATTCTTAATGCATAACAGACTTCTTAAAAAGTCTCTATCCCCATGGCTGCCCCTTTCCTATCCTGCATGTGGATGCCGACTTGTCCCTTAAATTCTGTCTCTTAACTACTCACAACTTCCACCTTCAGACACACTGGTGCACAGGCCTTTTTCATCATATATGCCTGTCTCCCTGTGCCTGTTCTTTATTATGTAAATCAAATTCATCACTCTGCCCTGTTTTGTTTTTGCCTCTGCTCTGCTCAGTACCCAGACTCCCCCAGGACTGTGTTGTTTCTGACACTGGATGAGTTTGTTTTTCTCCCAAGCTGCAGAAACCAGAGGTCTTTT